ATTTTAATGTGAAAATACAACGGAATTTAGAAAAAAAAAATTAACAGATTATGGATTCAGAATGATAATAACATTAGAACTTTTTAATTTGATCAAAAAGCTTTTTCATTTCCATTTAATGTTCCATTAATCATTTTCTGTTGCTTGAATGCTCAACAGTTGCCTTTGGATTTAGCTGAACAGTAAACAATGAAGATAAGCAGCTGCCRGTTCWTWRCGGTGGTAATCCTGGAAGCATGTTTTCTTTTTGGTGATGCAGAGAAACATCTCGCATTTAGTWCACCTCATGTCTTGCCATTGCAGCCCTTATTTCTGCATCTTTCTGTATACTTGATATCCACCATCTCTGGCATGTGCCTGGCCCCTAGTCTGCGTACAGATGGCTGTGGTTGAGGGATCYTTATTTTGGTTGGTGGCTGATACTCTTCTTCACTGTCTTCACTGCTGTCATCAAATGAAGGACAATCCAAAAGCTCTTCAGCCAGGTGCAATTTGAAGTCCWGGTAATATTTGGTGTTCTTAACTGATCGACTGAGTGCTTTACTGTCAGACTTGTATTGGATCCAAGCGTTAGTGATGGCAACAAGTTAAAATGTAATTTAATAAGTATATTGTTATGTATACAAARCTTAGTACATGCAAATGTTCTCAGTCAGCAGGTTAACAGTTTTAGGAGCTGCCTGAGGAGAACTTCCTCATTCTCCTCCTCATCCTCTTTGAAATAGAGATCAAAAATCAACATTCATTAACCTTTCTGCTTACAGGTCAAACATTTTTATTTAAATAGGAGTAAACTGTGTATATGACCTTATTAAAGTTATAGTTTAGTGTTCTTAGGACTGAAGACTTTATGAGAAAAGAGTTTTTTAAACATCTTTGCTATCATTTTAGTGTTTTCAACTGAGGGGCTTTGATATGTTAATTTTAAAAAGAATTATAGCACAGGAAGTTCTCTGCACAGAAAAAAAAATAATTTATTTTTACTGTTTTTTTAACCAAACTGACAAGTTTCTCCAGTAAAGTTATTGTGTAATTTAAAAGCATTGAAACACTTGGTTAAATTCAGAAGATGTTAACTACAAGCAGCTGAAACTGACACAGAACTCTGTGATTTTAGAAAAAAATAAAAGTCAAACATAGACAGGTCTTTAAAAGATCACACACCCCTCCTCCTCCCCACCCCGCACAGCTGAGGTCTGCTTGCACCTCCACTCCACCCGTGTGTGATTAATACAGCTTTTTTTTTTTGCGCAAATTACAGATTTTTKATGCTCATTATACAAGTAACTGTCTGAAGGGGTTGACATGTGGACTTTAAAGTCCTGGGCTAGTCGGAGCCACGATGGAGAGGTGCAGCAGCTGGTCAAGCTGCTTCCCTGAGCCCTCTCTTAAAAACAGTCAGGTGAGCTGTCGCAGCTTTGTTGTGCTCGAGTCGTGAACACACGGTGTTCCAGTAGAAATGCTGTGAGCTGCTTTTAGGAATATATATATATGACGTAATCCTCGGTGGAAATAGTCCAGGAAACACGGAGGGCTTCCCTGGGTCATGTTCGCCTGAGCCGAGCTGACCCTCCATCACAGAGAGAAGAAAAAGGCAGCGCGGTCAGTCAGACGGTACGACCTGCCCTGCTCTGTTCTGATTGGGTAAAACTTTGACTTTGGTTCTCTTTATTGGGTGAAAGAACCATCAATTTAATCCCTAGACAGCTTTAACAAGTTTCTTTCTTTCCCATTCATTTTTACAATGATGAACATCCGCGGAGGAAAAATTTAATCCAGGTCTTTTTTTCTTGTTGTCCACCGGACAACTAGGAGACAGGAGCTGGTTGTCCGAAACGAAAATAGGTTGTCTCAGACAAACTAAACAACRATTGCGTCAACCCCTGTTTTATGTTGATAAAAAAATAATACTTCATTCCGAAGGTGTGATGGATTTTATTTAGCTTTGGCGGTGAGCCACGATCATTTACATGTGGGGGAAACCCTGCATGAGATTGATTGTTGTAAAGTATCGATCAAAAAATACACAAGTTCCTGTGGGAACAGATTCAGCCAGTCGCAAAACTGCTGAAGCTCCAACTCCCAACCTTTGGCCCCTTAACGTGTTCTTCCCTTGGTACACTTCAAAATCCAACACCAAGCCATTTGGAGAGGCAAGGACAAAGACTTTTAGACCAGTAGGATTTGGCTTGCCAGGGACATATTGCCTGGCTGGACAGCAGCCTGTGAAAAGGATCATTTGCTCATCAATGCAGACCTTATTATACCTTGGAAGGCTGAGACAGCCTTGCTTCACACGGTCAAGCAATGGTCTGACTCTCCAAAGAATGTCTGACTCCTTTGTTTCTTCTGTTGCATTCAGATCATCAACAATCTTGAGTGAGCTTCTCAACTTGTAGAACCTATCCCTTGTCATTTTGTTGCTAATAACTGGCACTTTAGTTTTTTTGGCCCAAAACATTTTCTCTCTGGCATAGCCAAGGCAGGCCATGTGTATTGATATGCCAAAGAAAATCTTGATTTCTTGGGCCGTAGTATTTAGTGACACTCCAGTAGTTTGTAGCTGTCTTTGATTTGTAAAAGCTGCCAAATCTTCAAAGACTTTGTCATCAGTGAACTGCGAAAAGTACTGTATTGGGCTCCAGTGTTCTTGGATTTTAGGATCATCTTGATTGACAGGAAGCCCAGGCAGCACGGGTGTGTATCTATTTTGATGGTTGAAAAAATACACAAATAAGTACTAATGTGCAAAATAATACAGCAATAATCTATTATGAAAAGAAAATTCAATCCAACAGCCTAGATCTAAATAAAACCTACGAGGCAGTCCTGGCCCACAAAGCTTGATGACTTTCCTGCTCCATTTCTGGCTCTGTCTGTTTCCTCATCAGATACCTCTGCATCATCTTCCTCTCCTTCTTCACCTACTTCTTCTTGAACATCTCCTGTCCCAGGGTGATACTCACCCTCATCTGACAGTCCCAAATCTGAATCTCCCTCTGCTATTCAGTATAAAATCTTCTCTGCTTCACTTCTTTCTCCTGCAAAAATATTGACTCATTAAATACATCAAAATTGTCCTGGTGTCCACTGCAGTTGACATTCATAAAAGTACTGTTATTTCAAAACAAAAATAATAAAACTGTTTTCTGAGGTAAAAATGTTATCATTGACGTGTTAATAAACAAGACTAAATGTACATATTATGGTGAAAACAGCAATAGATAAATAATATTTTGCTTACCTTTCCTCTTTCCATAAAATGTGGTTGTTTGTATGCCAGCCAT